CTGCCCTTCTCTCAATGAATGGCTAGCAACAATTAACAAACTCCTCAGAGAAGCCACCGACGCCTTTGAACGAACACAAGAACAACAAGCCAACAAGATTAACAAACACAGGCGTGACGTGTCATTAAAAAAAGGGGACAAAGTCTGGCTCTCCGTCAAACACTTTCAACCCGAACACTGCTTGTCCAAGAAACTCTCGAACAAGTGGCTCGGACCCTTCCCCATCATTGAACAAACCTCCCCCGTCAACTACAAACTCCAACTCCCCCCTGACATGAGTCGTGTCCACCTTCCACGTAAAATACCTAAAAGAATACCACGAATCCCCACCCCAATTCGTTGACCGCCCATATCCTAGACCTCCACCAATCATGTTACCCACAGACCCTGCATTCGTCGTCGAAGCCATCATAGGACAATAACTACTCAGGGATCTGAGCACCCTGAACCAATCACATAATACAAAGTTAAATGGACAAGATACCCTGATGAAGAATCCACATGGGAACCTCTTGCTAATCTTAAGAATGCCATGAAACTTGTTCGCGCCTATGATCGCGTCCATCATATATCCTAGCTACCCACTATGCCTAAACCCTGCCTAAACCCCGCCTAAACCCCGCCTAAACCCTGCCTCAACCCTGCCTCCTTGCACTACACACATCCCCTATACCCAACAAAACTCTTGCCCCTTGACTTCCCTCTGTATGATCCGCTCTTGCCTCCGTCTCGCCCCGTTCTCCCATCTGTCCTCTGCCACATCTTTGTGCCTCTTGTCCAAGTCCTACATGTGGCCCCTACGCGTCGCCGACGATAACAGATCTAATGGCAAGCGCACGAGGACGACGGCATGCTGCAGCTCAGTACGAGAAGAGCAGACAACTGGTTGACCACCATGTTGTTCCCTTTGGTCGGCACCTTGGACTCGCAGACTTTTGGAGCAGGACCTCTGACATGGACATCAAGATCAGTCTGCGACCTGCTATTCATGTTAGACCTCATCATCAAATCGTGTACCGGACGCAACCTGCTAATGGGACAATCAAGCTGAAGCCCTCGCCATCTACATCATAAAATTGTTGAAGACTGCTTCCTCACCACCACTTCTGCGACACCCTCCAAGACCTCCCTCAAGACATTTTTTTCGCTTTTGACACTTTGTTACAAACTTGAGACGTTGTTTTCCCAGACCCCTCAAACACCCCAGCACTTGACCATTGAACAAACAATTGTTTTTATTTTTTTCTCAAACCTGATAACCTATAACCTTGTAGAACACCAATAGGACTGCCCTGATACTTGTAGAACCTCAATAGGATTACTCTGTTACCTGAACATTGCTATCCTCACCTTTTTAGAACCTCAATAGGATTACCCTGTTACTTGGGCATTGATTCCCTCATCCCTGTGGAACCTCAATAGGATTACCCTTTTACTTAGAGTACTGATTCCCTCATTCCTGTAGAACCTCAATAGGATTAACCTATTACTTGAGCATTGATTCCCTCACCCCTATAGAACCTCAATAGGATTACCTTGTTACTTGAGCATTGATTCCCTCATCCCTGTAGAACGTCCATAGGATTACCCTGCTACTTGCATTACTCTCCCTTTCCTTTTCTGACCACTGATCGGGCCCATCCCGTCCTTCACAGTTGTTCATTGGGTTTTTGGCAGCCGGGACGTTGCCTTCCAGAGGGAGGGGATAGTGTTACGGACTCAGCCAGGGCTCGAACCCTGGTCTGCAGGTTACCACCCGCCAGGCTGCTATTTTATTTTTGAGTCTCTGATCTCCGGTTCCTGACTGTTGGCGCCTTCTGCAGTTGGCGCCTGTTCTCAAATCCCTCCTTTGGCACGTTCAAATTTTGATACTTGGCGCCATCCGATATTCTGGCGCCCAGGCTCAGACCTTCAATTTTCAGTTCAGCCCCGAGGCAAATTGAACTTCTGCCCTCGGGACTCAACTTGAGTCCGGGACTTAAGACCGGACTCAAGCTGAGTTCGGGCATTCAGTTTTCGTCCTCAGTGCTTGTGCTTCAGTGTGGCTTGCTGCAACATTGTGTTCCGAATCCAAGATTGCGACTTTGCGACTTTGCCATTGTGTGTATGCGTCCGTCGACTTTGCCATTGTGTATCTGCGTCCGTCGAGTCGTGTCGAGTCCGCGTCGAGTTGAGTGGGTGTGTGTGTGTGCTCTCACTCTCCCTCTCTCCCCCAACCTCTCTGTTCTGCCTCTACCCCGTGACATACAAGGCTTCAAAGTATGTCAGCGGAACAAGATTTCCACACAGCCTCCCCTTGGTCTACTTAGGCCGCTGCCTATACCGTCGGGTCCCGGTGACTCCGTGTCTATAGATTTCATCGACACTAAGGTAAAGAGTAGAAATAGAAAGAACCAAGTTATGGTGATAGTGGACAGATTTAGCAAGTTTGCTGTTTTTGTGCCACTCCCGGCTGAAGCCAGGACAAACTTAGTAATTCGAGAGTTCTTTAATCATTGGGTGAAAGACTACTGGCATCTCTTGACTATTGTAAGAAATAGGGATCCGAGATTCACGAGCGAGCACTGCCAACAACTCATGAATGTTTATGGTTCCAAACTGACTATGTCCTCGGGCAGACATCCTGAGACAAATGGACAGACCAAGCAGATGAACAAAGTGTTGCCGCAGGTGCTGCGTATGTACATCCGACCAGATCAGATTGACTGGGATGAACATCTAGCTAATGCGAGGCCAAGGCCCCGATGAGCCCCTTTTTGGCCCTTTCACTTAATACGTCGGCCGCCCTAAGTGAAGCAAGGCTCGACGAGGGCCTGAGGGCCCCTATTTCGGATACCACGCAACTGAGGAAAATTCAGGCAGTTGCGCAGCGCCATCTGGTTGAGAGCACCCAGGCCCAGGCCGCCTGTTTGCATGTATGGAAGGCAGGCCCTGGGCTGGATACGGGGTATGGGCCAAACACAGGCCGATGGCAGTTGGGCACAAGTAACCACCACAGGCCCTGGGCCTGATTCGTATTGGACTGGGCCT